GGTGGAGTGTCTAAAAGAAGGTGTGGACCGCGATTCGACGTGATGATGTTTGCGGAAACTACTGTAGAGTACCGTAGTTTCTGCAAACACCACCACGTCATAGTACAGACAGAACTCTTGAAAGGCAACAAAAAGGAAAGCCTACCTTCGTCTCGACTTTTTTCTCGTAATCGTGCTCAATGACAGCTACATCTCTTAATCTTCTTTCAACATCATCCCCATTCAGAACTAATAGTTTATGAACAACGGTTGATGGTGACGAGTTTTCACTATCGGCTGAGAACGACGATTCCGCTGGTTTCTCTTCCTGTAATAAACGCTATTCGCTCTTTTCTGAAAAGTCCTTTCAATCCCCACCTTAATGGTTTGTAACTCATTCTCTTCGGGTTCAACACTTTTCTTCCTACGATGCATTTTATGTTGAAGTCCACCTTTGATATTTACAACTTTCTTCTTCAAATCGTGAAGATGATCCATTCCCTCATCGATCATATTGTTAATACGCGACGAGGAGGTTTCTTTTTGATTCTCCTGAACCGGAATATCCTCCGGCATTCTCTTCATTTTCAGCGATGCATTCGTCACCATTCCTCGATGCTTCTGAAGCTCTTTATGCTGTGGTCTCGTCCACATCAATTCTCCTCGTTTCTTTTTACTCCACATGTTGTCAAGCAATGAGTTCCGAAGAGAGTTGATAACCAAAAGAGTATCGGGGAACATCTCATACTGTGCTCTCAAATGAATCGAATCAATTGCTCGTAAGGCCAAATCAGCAGCTCCGTTGAAAAGTGCCAAGTAACAACCGCGTAACAGATGATCCAGAAATTCACCAGTTACTTGCTGACGTGGCTTCCGAGAAAAATCTTCAATGACTTCGTGCGATTCAGTCTCGAGGACTCGGCTTTGGAAGGCCGTCTCAGGAAAGTTGAATCCGGAGCAACACACTTGAAATGATATATAGTTAAAACTAGAGGTAAAAAAAAGAAATTTACCTGAAAGAGTTCCTAGACAAACATATCTTGCTGCCACTTCTGATGCAACCTCGAACAGCGATTCATTTACAGAAAAAAGGATACGGTTCATAACCATAAACTTGTTCTCTCCGTTCATTTTCGAGACCGATGGAAAAGGTCCGAACCGTAATGTGGTCTGCAAAATTGCTTATTTGAAACGAGATATAAAGTGAATTTTGTTTATACCAAAACAGGAGTAATACCGACATTTCTGATAATTGGAACATCTGCTTGCACTTGGATTTTCACGGGGTCGTGATAGACGCTGTGATGGCGTATCGAAGGAATTCGAATGTCCTCCACCTGAAAACTAAGTTTTTCTTTGAGAGTTGAGAACGTCTCGGAATGTTTGCCACCTTCTTCTCATTCGTTTCAGCGTTCTCGATGATTTCCTCATTGTAGATAGCCACTAAGAACGTTTCGAACAGCGAAACACTCTTATGTTGTTTTTTAGACAATGCGAGGAGATACAACGAAACAAATCCGGGCACGAATTGCAAGGCATAAAGTCGAAGAACTCCTGAAATAGCTTGTTTTACATCTTAACGATCATTTAGACCATTCTTTACCTGATTTATAATATAAAGAAAGAATCTGAGCAATCGTAGTCTGAATCAAATCGACATCTGTGTAGTTCGATGCGATATAGCTTGCAGCCCACAATGAACTTGGAGCGAACTGTAAGTTATTATTAGAAAAATACCAATATTCAAAAAAAAACACTCACTTTGTTCAGGAATTTCTTTTTCAGATGATTTTCTTCTCGTTGATCAGCTACCTTTTTCGGGATAGCAGCTCCTGCTAATGCCACCTCGTAAAAGAAATCGGAGAGCTGATCGGCGTTCATTTTTTGTTATGACGAAGCCGAGCGGATGTCATGAAACCCCACGAAAAAGGGGAGGAAGGGTGGAAAGAAAGCGAAAGAGCGAAAAGTGTTGACCTAGAGTTTTCGTTTGTGTGTCTGCGTCTCCCTCGCGTTAGCACTAGGCCGTTGGATTTCCCCTTTTCCAGAGAAGGTTCTTTCCAATAAAGTTTCCATTAATGGCCATTTCCGACTTCATCCAGTTCTTATAAAAACATTAGAAAACCAAGAAATCTTACTATTAGTTTTCTTATGTTTTTTCTAGTTCTTCTAATACGGTCCCCAAAGAAGTTATTTCTTTTTTCTTTATTACTAAAACAGATTACAACCCGGAAGATGCATCTTGAAAAGTTCTATTCATTCAGCTATTTTACAAAAAGTTCATAAGTTCCAAAAAAGCCTTCGCTTATTTGCTTCAAAAACTATCATTTCCTGGAACCTTTTCTGCGGAATAAAAAAAAACTCTCCGGCTGAAGTTTGAAAATCTGAAAATCGTCTTAAATTGATCAAATTTATTGACCACTGCACTTGGGTTCAAGCGAGGGGGTCAGAAAAAGCGCCCCAGCAAACTCGTAGGCCAGAAGAAATTTAATAATTTTAAACATGAACGCGGGTTTGAACTAAGCATGACCTATCTCTATAACATCCCGGGTTGCCTGACGCGACACCCTCGCCCGTCGGTTAATATCGCCAGACGCTCATTCCGTTTTGCAATTTAATTCGATAAGTCAGCGGTGCGAGAAACAAGCGAGAAAGTGTAAAATATGAAGATACACAGACATTCAGAATACAGTACGTATACACACTCTGTTTTTCTGTTATTTTTTGAAGAGAG